TTTTTTTTAAATGATCAATTAAATCGATTAATTAAATCAATTGAACCAGATCCAATTACCAAAACAGATCAATCGGGTCAGGTTTTAAAACGTTGACTATTTCTATTTAAAGAAATTAGTAGTCTTCCTCTTTGAAATTTGTACCTTGGGGGAATCCGTAACTTCAAAATTGCGGGTCTGAACATTGGCGAGTTGTCTTACTCTTTGAAATTAATAGCGACACAATGCAAAGAAATTGACTTAAAGCAAAGTAGCTAAGATTTTTGTTAAAAGAGAAAAAAAACAAGTCATAATTAATGAATCTGTTCGTTGGAATGGAAGAAACACGAATCTCTTTAAATGATATTTTGAATTTAAATTTTATTTTAAAAAATAAATATTAAAAAAGTTTACTTGTAAAATATAATATAATATAATTTTAAATTAATTAAAATTTAATAATTAATAATCTAAATAATTTAATAGTTATTTTTTTTTACTGAAAATAAGAGATTTTGAATTTAAATCGTATGACATGCAGATGAAGTGAAATAAAATATAATAGATGATTGTTTTTCATTATATAATCATAATAAAAAAAATTAAAATGGAATAAAACTATCAAATACTGATAATTAATAAAAAAAAAGAAATCACAAAATCCTAGAAACTCCAAAATCGTAGAATAAAAAAATATATATCATGAAGGTTAAATCCTTAATTTGGTCCTTTAACTTTATGAAATGCACATTTTTGATCCCTCAACAATATTTTGCACTTTTTTGATCCCTCAACTATACAAAATGCACTCCGTTAGTCTTTCTGTTAATTTGTGCCGTTAACCCTGCTTAGGTGACATTTTTTATATTTTTTTGATGATGTGGAGAGCAAAACTTAAAAAAGTGATGATATGCATAAAACTTCTGCCATGTCACATGCTACCTGGCGAAATCGCGCCAAATCCATCCAAATGGGTCCCACATCACCACTAACCCATCGGTTACTATTTTACTTCTTTCCATTTTCAAGATTGAAATTCGACAGAACCCAACAGATCTGGGTTCGATGTAACCCAGCAAATAGGTTCCATCAAATCCAGCTCAATTCACTGAACTCAATTGCCCAAAAATCCCTCACAACAACCTGCAATTGCCCAAAAATTCCTCGCAACAAC